AAATCCACATCTAGCAGACAAAACAGGTGCATTTTATAAAGGCTCAAAGAATTTCAACCATCCTTTATTTGACAAACATGAAAAGAGCAAGGAGCACACGAATGTGGCGCAAGCCATTGCTAAAAGCTAGCCGAGAATAAATGTCCAGTCGCCCACTTGCCAGACAAGCTGAATGAAGAACAGAGGCAAGCTCTGTTTAATATTTTTCTCTTTCCATAAAGCTAAACACGCACGTCCCATGTCTTCCTATTCTGAGGATGTTCCTTTACTGAATGCTTTTTGATGGATCTGAGGACATCACAAAAACTGAGCAGGAAATAGTTTACATTGTCTGTGTCCAGCAACGGAGAGTTTACTTCGGACTTTATTGGACTGATTGAATTGGGTGCTGACCGAACCGCACAGGCCATAACAGACGGACTTGTGAGACTTTTCCAGGACACAGGCTTGGATGACACAGACGGGGCTGCTGTCAACGTAGGTATGGGTAAGTTTCATAATACCAGATGGTCTGCATGGAGGCATGAAACACTGTTAAAAATATCAAGACTATTGCCAGCCATTAAAATGCAACTGGTTACCAGGTATTTATTTCAGTCATACTGGTTGAATTTTTGGCTAAAAGGTTACTGAATCGATTTCAAGTCACTGAATCGTTTCGGATCGTATCGTTCTAAATGAACCAATATCGTCCTTGAATCGTATCGACAACCACGAATCGTGATACGAATCGAATCGTTGTTAAAACGAATCGTTACACCCCTAATAGACATACATCATTACTCCCACCCTTCAGCTTTCGCAATACTGTACTTCCCTCATCAGATTCTTACACTTTTCCAGCAGCTTTGGGAGGACTCAAAGACGTCCGGTAACATGATTTAATACTTATCTTCTGGACACACCTGAGGGGCGGAGTATCTTCTCTTGGTGACACTATCCCTCAACAAGACTTCAGTGGTTGAGTGTTTCCTCTTGTTTCGGTCAGGGTGTTGGGAGTGTGTGTGGCTGTGTGCATGTGTGTGTGTGTGTACTGCAGGAAGGAGGGGGGCATTCAAGTGTTTTCCTCATCCTAACTTGTGAAATTCCCAGCTGCCGCTTGTAATGCTCTCCAGTCAGCAGCCAGGCCATGGGCCAGGCGAGGCTCGTGTCCAGAACCAATCATCATAACCTAACGCCTTATTCCGTGAGCTGCTGTCCCAGTCCTGGCTTAGTCCTAGCCAACTCCCACCCAGCCCAATCCCTGCATGCGAGAACTGTCCTGTCCCGGCCAACTCCCACCTTGTCCAGACCTGGCCAACTCCCAACTTGTCCAGTCCTGGCCAACTCCCACCTTGTCCAGTCCTGGCCAACTCCCACCTTGTCCAGTCCTGGCCAACTGCCACCTTGTCCAGTCCTGACCAACTCCCACCTTGTCCAGTCCTGGCCAACTCCCACCTTGTCCAGTCCTGACCAACTCCCACCCTGTCCAGGCCTGGCCAACTCCCACCTTGTCCAGTCCTGACCAACTCCCACCTTGTCCAGTCCTGACCAACTCCCACCTTGTCCAATCCTGACCAACTCCCACCCTGTCCAGTCCTGGCCAACTCCCACCTTGTCCAATCCTGACCAACTCCCACCCTGTCCAGGCCTGGCCAACTCCCACCTTGTCCAGTCCTGACCAACTCCCACCTTGTCCAATCCTGACCAACTCCCACCTTGTCCAGTCCTGGCCAACTCCCACCTTGTCCAGTCCTGGCCAACTCCCACCTTGTCCAGACCTGGCCAACTCCCACCTTGTTCAGTCCTGACCAACTCCCACCTTGTCCAGTCCTGACCAACTCCCACCTTGTCCAGTCCTGACCAACTCCCACCCTGTCCAATCCTGACCAACTCCACCCTGTCCAGTCCTGACCAACTCCCACCCTGTCCAGTCCTGACCAACTCCACCCTGTCCAGTCCTGACCAACTCCCACCCTGTCCAGTCCTGACCAACTCCCACCCTGTCCAGTCCTGACCAACTCCCACCTTGTCCAGTCCTGACCAACTCCCACCCTGTCCAGTCCTGGCCATCTCCCACCCTGTCCAGTCCTGACCAACTCCCACCCTGTCCAGACCTGGCTCTACTGGTCCTGCATGTGAGAACAGTCCTGGCTCAGTCCTGGCTCAGTCCTGGCTCTATCCCACACCTGCATGTGAGAACAGTCCCGGCCCAGTCCTAGCTCAGTCCTATCCCTGCATGTGAGAACAGTCCCGGCCCAGTCCTGGCTCAGTCCCATCCCTGCATGTGAGGACAGTCCCCATTCAGTCCTGGCTGGGTACCATCCCTGCATGTGAGAACAGTCCCAGTCCTGGCTCAGTCCCATCCCTGCATGTGAGAACAGTCCCGGCCCAGTCCTGGCTGGGTACCATCCCTGCATGTGAGAACAGTCCTTGCTCAGTCCTGGCTCAGTCCTGGCTCTATCCCACAACTGCATGTGAGAACAGTCCCAGCCCAGTCCTGGCTCAGTCCCATCCCTGCATGTGAGGACAGTCTCGGCTCAGTCCTGGCTCAATCCCACACCTGCACGTGAGAACAGTCCCGGCACAGTCCTGGCTCAGTCCCATCCCTGCATGTGAGGACAGTCCCGGCCCAGTCCTGGCCCAGTCCCATGTTTGCATGTGAGAACAGTCCCAGTCCTGGCTGGGTCCCATCCCTGCATGTGAGAACAGTCCCGGCCCAGTCCTGGCTCAGTCCCATCCCTGCATGTGAGAACAGTCCCCGCCCAGTCCCGGCTCAGTCCCATTCCTGCATCTGAGAACAGTCCCAGTCCTGGCTCAGTCCCATCTCTGCATGTGAGAACAGTCCCAGTCCTGGCTCAGTCCCATCCCTTTATGTGAGAACAGTCCCAGTCCTGGCTCAGTCCCATCCCTGCATGTGAGAACAGTCCCAGTCCTGGCTCAGTCCCATCCCTGCATGTGAGAACAGTCCCAGTCCTGGCTCAGTCCCATCCCTGCACGTGAGAACAGTCCCAGTTCTGGCTCAGTCCCATCCCTGCACGTGAGAACAGTCCCAGTCCTGGCTCAGTCCCATCCCTGCACGTGAGAACAGTCCCAGTCCTGGCTCAGTCCCATCCCTGCATGTGAGAACAGTCCCAGTCCTGGCTCAGTCCCATCTCTGTATGTGAGAACAGTCCCAGTCCTGGCTCAGTCCCATCCCTGCACGTGAGAACAGTCCCAGTCCCAGAACCTAGCTGGTTAGCTAAAGGCTGTAATAGGTCATTGTCCTAATGAAGCAGGCTGGGCCCTGTCCGTCATGAGACTGACTCATTATAACTATATAGTAATACGCCTTCTTTTCCCACAGTACATGATGCTGATATCCCACCATAAATGTTGATTTGTTCCAGTTCCATCCCTGATACGAATGTAGTCCCACTCCTATAGTCACTCCAGCTGACCAGTTGAGAGCTGGAGATCTGAACCAGGCTGGGGTCTGCCTGTCATGGGTTCTGACTTGAGTCTGACTCACTAGATCTGTTTATTAATGCACCTTCCCTTCCCTTCCCATGATGATCATGTCCCAGCACTGGATTTCACTGCATAAGGTTTTGATTAGATCCAGAGAGAAAAAGTAGAACAGTAGAATCTCTACTGACTCCACTCTCTCGGTATTGAGATGAAAAATCGAAAGATTTATTCCATTTCAGATATGGACATTCCATTTTTTTGTCTTTGCAACTGGTGTATCATCCTTGTACAGTCTAACTGTAAATTGGTCAAGTGGGTTGGTAAATTAAACTGACAATCTAGAGGGGATATTTAATTATTGTGGCATTGCTAGAATTAGAGGAGATGCACTGGTTAACTTCCATATCTCACTGTGTGTGTGTGTGTGTGTGTGTGTGTGTGTGTGTGTGTGTGTGTGTGTGTGTGTGTGTGTGTGTGTGTGTGTGTGTGTGTGTGTGTGCAGGGGTGTCATGCACCCCAGAAATCTGAGGGGGCACAAGGTATTTGAGGGGGGTGTTATAGCAGGCTGTAACGTAAACAAAATGTGGAAAAAGTGAAAGGGTCTGTATACATTCCGATTGCACTGTGTGTGTGTGTGTGTGTGTGTGTGTGTGGTACAAAGAGGTAGATGGCTGTGGAGAGTTAGTGCATCTGTCATAAAATGTCATGCCCTAGGTTGTAGCACCACTCTATAGTCTTCCACACATGCTAAACAGATAAGAAACAACAAACATGGTCTCAGTCCCAAATGGCACCCTATTCCCTGTGGGCCCTGGTCAAACGTACTGCACTATATAGGGAAGTGGGTGCCATTTGGGACTCAGATATGAAGAAAAGGAACTGACTGAATCTATGAATGAATGCCGGTGTATGTATGTGTGTGTGTGTGTGTGCATGTGTGCGAAGTTGGCGCGTGTGACTGAAAGTTAATGAAATTTCGACTGCATCCTCAACCACAACTTTCCAGACAACAAAGTAATTAGTCTCTAGTCTTCCATACTCTGTATTCTTCCTAATACTTCAATTTGTAAAGACTATTATCTGACGGGTTGGTAACTAGGAAACGACAGAGACTATAATCTGACTGGTTGGGAACTAGGAAACGACAGAGACTATTATCTGACGGGTTGTGGGAACTAGGAAACGATAGAGACTATTATCTGACGGGTTGGGAACTAGGAAACGACAGAGACTATTATCTGACGGGTTGGGAACTAGGAAACGACAGAGACTATCATCTGACGGGTTGGGAACTAGGAAACGACTGAGACTATAATCTGACTGGTTGGGAACTAGGAAACGACAGAGACTATTATCTGACGGGTTGTGGGAACTAGGAAACGATAGAGACTATTATCTGACGGATTGGGAACTAGGAAACGACAGAGACTATTATCTTACGGGTTGTGGGAACTAGGAAACGACCGAGACTATCATCTGACGGGTTGGGAACTAGGAAATGACTGAGACTATTATCTGATGGGTTGTGGGAACTAGGAAACGACAGAGACTATTATCTGATGGGTTGGTAACTAGGAAACGACTGAGACTATTATCTGACGGGTTGGTATCTAGGAAAAGACAGAGACTATTATCTGATGGATTGGGAACTAGGAAACGACAGAGACTATTATCTGACACGTTGTGGTAAGTAGGACACGACTGAGACTATTATCTGACGGGTTGGTATCTAGGAAAAGACAGATACTATTATCTGATGGGTTGGGAACTAGGAAACGACAGAGACTATTATCTGACACGTTGTGGTAACTAGGAAACGACTGAGACTATTATCTGACGGGTTGGTATCTAGGAAAAGACAGAGACTATTATATGACGGGTTGTGGGAACTAGGAAACGATAGAGACTATTATCTGACGAATTGGGAACTAGGAAACGACAGAGACTATTATCTTACGGGTTGTGGGAACTAGGAAACGACCGAGACTATCATCTGACGGGTTGGGAACTAGGAAATGACTGAGACTATTATCTGATGGGTTGTGGGAACTAGGAAACGACAGAGACTATTATCTGATGGGTTGGTAACTAGGAAACGACTGAGACTATTATCTGATTGGTTGGTATCTAGGAAAAGACAGAGACTATTATCTGATGGATTGGGAACTAGGAAACGACAGAGACTATTATCTGACACGTTGTGGGAACTAGGAAACGATAGAGACTATTATCTGACGGATTGGGAACTAGGAAATGACAGAAACTATTATCTGACACGTTGTGGTAACTAGGAAACGACTGAGACTATTATCTGACGGGTTGGTATCTAGGAAAAGACAGAGACTATTATCTGATGGATTGGGAACAAGGAAACGACAGAGACTATTATCTGACACGTTGTGGGAACTAGGAAACGATAGAGACTATTATCTGACGGATTGGGAACTAGGAAACGACAGAGACTATCATATGACGGATTGGGAACTAGGAAACGACTGAGACTATCATCTGACGGGTCGGGAACTAGGAAACGACTGAGACTATCATCTGACGGGTTGGGAACTAGAAAACGACACAGACTATTAGCTGACGGGTTGGGAACTAGGACACGAAAGAGACTATTATTTGAGGGGTTGGGAACTAGGAAACGACAGAGACTATCATCTGACGGGTTGGGAACTAGGAAACGATTGAGACTATTATCTTACTGGATGGGAACTAGGAAACGACTGAGACTATCATCTGACGGGTTGGAAACTAGGACTGACTGAGACTATTATCTGTTGGGTTGTGGGAACTAGGAAACAACAGAGACTATTATCTGACGGGTTGGGAACTAGGAAACGACTGAGCGTATTATCTGATGGGTTGGGAACTAGGAAACAACTGAGACTATTATCTGAAGGGTTGGGAACTAGGAAACGACAGAGACTAAAATCTGACGGGTTAGGAACTAGGAAACGACAGTGACTATTATCTGACGGATTGGGAACTAGGAAATGACAGAGACTATCATCTGACGGATTGGGAACTAGGAAACGACTGAGACTATCATCTGACGGGTTGGGAACTAGGAAACGACTGAGACTATCATCTGACGGGTTGGGAACTAGGAAACGACAGAGACTATTATCTGACGGGTCGTGGGAACTAGGAAACGACCGAGACTATCATATGACGGGTTGGGAACTAGGAAACGACCGAGACTATCATCTGACGGGTTGGGAACTAGGAAATGACTGAGACTATTATCTGATGGGTTGTGGGAACTAGGAAACGACAGAGACTATTATCTGACGGGTTGGGAACTAGGAAACGACAGAGACTTTTATCTGAGGGGTTGGGAACTAAGAAACGACAGAGACTATCATCTGATGGGATGGGAACTAGGAAACGATTGAGACTATCATCTTACTGGATGGGAACTAGGAAATGACTGAGACTATTATCTGTTGGGTTGTGGGAACTAGGAAACGACAGAGACTATTATCTGACGGGTTCGGAACTAGGAAACGACAGAGACTATTATCTGACGTATGGGGAACAAGGAAACGATTGAGACTATTATCTGATGGGTTGGGAACTCGGAAACAACTGAGACTATTAACTGAAGGGTTGGGAACTAGGAAACGACAGAGACTATTATCTGACAGGTTGGGAACTAGGAAACAACAGTGACTATTATCTGACTGATTGGGAACTAGGAAACGACAGAGACTATCATCTGACGGATTGGGAACTAGGAAACGACTGAGACTATCATCTGACGGGTTGGGAACTAGGAAACGACTGAGACTATCATCTGACAGGTTGGGAACTAGGAAACGACAGAGACTATTATCTGATAGGTCGTGGGAACTAGGAAATGACTGAGACTATTATCTGATGGGTTGTGGGAACTAGGAAACGACAGAGACTATTATCTGAGGGGTTGGGAACTAGGAAACGACAGAGACTATTATCTGAGGGGTTGGGAACTAGGAAACGACAGAGACTATCATCTTACTGGATGGGAACTAGGAAATGACTGAGACTATTGTCTGTTGGGTTGTGGGAACTAGGAAACGACAG